TCGACGAACTTCACGAACGCTTTTTCGTTCCTGGAACGATTGTGGAGAATGTTGCGCGACGAATCCTACGGGTATACGAAGTGATTGAAATAACGCGAATATTCACAAGGCCAAGAACAAAATTTTCAGTAACGTGAAACATACTTTTATTGCGCTTTTGTTGAAATGCTTTGCGAAAATTAAATATTCTATTCAGTAGACAAAATGGACACGTTCCGCGTGAAGTCAAATTTGAAAATTCATTCTAATTTTAATGCTAATTAAATATATACTGTTGGACATGCATTGCTACCCTTCTTCCCTCCTTATAACTCAAGCGAGCGTCAATGTTAATTTCATACTAATTTCTTCACAATTACAAAAATTCACTCATCTTACAATTAGATTCGAACGCCCCTGTCAAAATGCGAGTCGCGATGCAAATCGTCATGGATCGCGCGAGTATACGCGAAAGGGCGGAAGAGAGAAATCTTCCCGGTCATTGGACGAGGAACAAAGCGTCGGTCGTTAAAAAAAATTTCATAAACCTGTTCCAGCCTGGATCGAAGTACGTGCAAGAGTGCGAGAAAGAAAGAAAGAAAGAAAGAAAGGAAGGAAGGAGGGGGGAAAAAATGCCAAAAAACGTTCATATATCCACAGGAACTTTTACTCGGCTGGTAATTGAACGTTATCACGTTTTACGTTGGTTTTTATGAAAAGGAATTTCATCGTCCCGGCGAACGAGGAAAAAGAAGATGCAATTTCGCCCGTCCACGGTCACCGATAGGAGGTTTGTAGGCGTAATAAAGGTTTTTTACCGAAATTAAACGGAGTTCGTTACGATCTGTTGTTGCACCGACGATCACCTATCTCTCCCCGGGTATTTGTCCGTCCCTCTTCCACCTTCTACCACCGTTCTAGGTAGAACCCCTTCTTTACCCGCCCCTTCTTTCTCTGCCACTCTTCGAGCGCGTTGCCTCGCTCCCGAGCTCCAGCTTATTATCATTATTTCGCGATAAAGGTATGAAATAATCGAGAGACGTTCTATACCGCAGTTATATCGGGGCACACGAGAAGAGGAGAAGCTCGCTCGGTGGAAGAATGGATGGAAAAGAGACGGCGAGGGGGATGAAGACATGGGGTGAAAAGAGAGAGAGAGAGAGAGAGAGAGAGAGAGAGAGAGTTAGTGTGTATATATATATATATATATACATCTAAGAGGATACGCAATGTCGATGCCGATACCTAATCGATCGAGATCCAATCGAATATTATGGCTAACGAGCTGTCACGCCTGCCTGAACACGATGTTGGAATCATCTTTTCCCTCTCGGGGAACGAGATCCTTCACCTTAGATCCTCGCCTCACCTAACCTCACGCTTTTCGCGCTGCTGTACGACAACACCGGAAATTTATGCTTGCGAGCCTCGCCGAACGATTACCGATCGCCGCACGCACCAACAGCCTCGCAATTGGTTGCCACGTAATTAATTCACCACATGGGATACACGCGGGATAGTGCAAAGGGAGGTAAGTGGAAATATCTTTCTGGCAACGTCATACCATCGGAATTTCTATATCTCGGTGTATGCTATAAGATAGTAATAGCTAACGATAACCTAGACAGTCTATGATGCGCAAGATGATCACAAATCAACTAGTCTACCTAGACTTTTCAAAACCAGAAGATTCAAAATGAGGTGGGATGACTCGATTACGGATAACGACGTGAAAACAATTACCGGCACCTTTCTCTTGTAGCGGCCTACCGAGTTCCTCCAGTACGAGTCTTGAAGACCGACTGTGGCTGTGCGCCTATCGTCGAAGTCTAGCGATCTTCGATGCTAAGCAAACAGAGTGCGAAACACCGCTAAACGGTTGGACCAGCCTAGCGAATAGAATTATAACAACAAGCGTCTAGGGTAAGGAGTCGCTGCCATCAGCCCCACTGATGATGAGTCTAGGCAGCGACTCCGAGACGAAACGCACAACCTTTCCTCATCTTACCCAAATTCTACATCCTTCCTGTATCCTCGTACTAATTGTAAACAGAATATAAATGTGTAAAAATACAATAGCTACTTTCAAGTCGCAAGCTCTGAAATCGTGTCATTTTCATCCCTTCTCTCCGACTACGGCAAACTGATCATCAGAGCCGAGGTGATCTAACGTTGAATTCCATCAACCGCTGCTCACCCCATATCCACGCGATGCCCACTTGATTGGACAAGGGTGTTTTCCGGACGTTTCGCGAGTCGATGGAAAAGTCGATGGAAACGTGATCGACGACGACGAGTCAGCTTCCATTGACGTGCAGCTTAAATGGGAACCCGGCGACGACGTTTTGCTCGGCGAGGTTTTTGCCGAGGTGCACGCTTTTTAGCGTTGCTGCTCGCGCGACAAAAACCCCCGTCGGGGAATTTATTTACGAGTCGATTTGGAAGTTCGCGAGAGCGGGAGCCAGGCCGGTGTTTTGCTGTGAGACTCGACGCGCGAGACAAGACGAACCCCCCCTCGAGTGATTTGTATTCGACGCGTGTTACTTCGACCGTTCCGATGACGAAATGAAAAAAAAGAGAGAGAGAGAACGAAAAAATGAGCAGAAGAAGAGCTCTGATCTCTTTCGAGAGCGACGTCTTGTTACGGCGAATGAATGACGAGCCTCGTTAGGGGACCGTTGAGACGTCTATTAGCGGTGACACGCGCGTATGTTAAACGAGATTTGAAATTCGAATGGTTATTAATTTTATGTTTCATTCGGCGAGCAAAAATTTTTGCACGCCGAGGTGCATTCGTTGTTGACTTGAATATTAACTGGAGATCGTACAATGAGTGTACTGTGTGAAGAATCGTGCAGAATGAAACTTGAATATACGTACGTGTACTTGTGTAGGTATTCGTATGTTAAAATTATATAGACATGTTATATACAACCATGTTGAACTGATCTACTTGTATGTTTACAAGCAAGAAAATTACATAAACGATTGAACAATGGAAGGAAAGTGTGTACAAGTCATTAATTTCAAATTCAAATCAATTCGAGTGACGAAGTTCAAAGTAGTGAAAATAATTTAGATAACGAGCAAGTTGCATCAATTTTGTATATTTTGCATATATTTAACACAAAATTAAAGAAACTTGTTCATTATCAGAATTATTTCTGCGATTTTAAATTTCACCATTATTTACGATGGACTGTTGTTCCTTGCGCAAAAAAAAAAAAAAAAAATGAATGAGATACGTGTCTGTTCAAATTAAAACAATTGCATTAAATACATCAAAAGTCAAATACACGTACAGAGAAATAATCTTTCGAACAAAGTAGTGTCCAAATATTAATAATAGTCGTCGTGTGTGTATATCACGAAGAAAGATTGCTGACAAATTCAAACACAAAGCACCGACTGTCGACAGAGACAATCTCCCGAATAGCGCGCGGTGTTCAAATATTAATTACCAAAAAATAAAAAGGTCGCTGCACGTAACACAGAGGAAAATCGTCGACGCAAACAGTTCGAATACAAAGCACCGTACGTTAACTGTCAACGTGACAGCCGCCCCAAAGAAACTAGTAAACGAGCAGATGCCTGGAAGCTGGTGAAATTACCGGAGCCGCGACAGTTTCCAGGAAGGCGGAAGATCTGCGCTAATTCTACGATAGGAAGTTCTTGCTTGCTCGCTTGCAAGTCGGTTCCGGATCTGCTGTAGAAGCAGAAACGTCGCACGCTACGTCCAACGTGTGTATGTACGTTCACACACGGACGAAAGACGAAACACAAGCACGTGCCGTTTCTATGTAACGAGGCCCGTATCAACCGATGCCATGGGTCATCCGTATACGGAGGAATATTACTGCCATTAATCAACGACAGAGCGTCGCGGAGGTGACGACAGTCTGACAGTTCTTTTCTGCTCTACTCGCCTCTGGATTTTGCCTCGGATAGCTCGCAGATCCTCGGCTGGTCGCTGCACTTTGCAAGGAATGCCACGTGTTCCGTGAAAGAGGCGGGTTCTTTAAAAAAAGAAAGAAGAAAAAAAAAGAAAAAAGGGAGCGGGGGACGGCCAGCTGAAGAATCCGCGGTGGCATTGTGTCGCCGCGGGATATCTGGTATATATCGCGTCGTGGTTGCGCGAGTCGCGGAAATAAAACTGTCATCGCGTTGCGTGTGTCACGCCAGCCGAGTGAATTGGCGACGAAAGACGATTAATTCGTGTCTTTCCGCTGAGACAAATTCCATCGTGATCGATACTTTGAGGAAAGTAACAGCAACTAGCTAGAAGGCAACTCGAAATCTTCTACTGTCGAAGAATTTTCGTGTGTATCGACCACGTGTGTTTCATAAAACGTTTTGAAATTTTATTAACGCTAGAATGATTACTATTGTGCAACATGAATCTTATATGATCAAGTATTTATTTGTGTAATTATAGATTCGAATTATTAATGTAATGGATGACTTTTGTGATCTCTGTGTGAAATATCTTGTAATTTTTATACACGTCACAAACACGACTAATGTGTTCATGAAATTTCAAAATGTTTTATATAACCTATGTAATATAATCAAAAAAGTTTCTACAAGTGTGACGTTCATTCGTTTCTTTACTAGAAAAATTAGAATATGGACTACAAAAGTGTTACTCACTTAAACTGCAATAAAGTTCGAGTATTCCAGGTCTCGAGCAATGTAACCTGTGGACAAAAAAATTTATGATATTAAGAAGAAGAAGGACAAACAGTGAATAGATTCGACGAAAATAAATGAAAAATATTGTACGTCAGCTATACAGGATGTTACAGGATGGATGATGATGATTCCCCTCGCGAAAATAAGTCGAAGAAAAGGAATAACATTTTTTGGTTTGAAGGTTCGTTTTCGAGAAAATCGAGTTTGAATATGTGCAGGTAATATGTTAACGATTAGTTACATTACACTGTTGAAAGTGTCGGCCTTGCTGACCTGTACATAACCTCGCTCTTCTTATCAGTGAATCATGGACTGACGCCGCATCATTTCGTCGCTTTACTTGATCGAAAGCATTTACTATTCTTTCCTTTAGCTGTGAAACATTCTCACTAGTTTCAGCATACACTATTTCTTTAACAAGCTCCTAACGCTTTCACCATGTCAACGTATTCACGACTGCTGTAGCGAAACATTGTTACAAAACAACTTGATACAAACAGACTAACAATAAGAGCAGCTGGTAGCCCTATGACCAAAGACAGAATATAAACTTTACAGAAGACAGCGAAATGATCATACCACACACAACATTCAAACTCGATTTTCTCGTAAACAAACGAGACTTTTTTTCGACTTATTTTTGCACGTAGAATCATCACCTGTTCGGTGGTATCACGCATCCTGTATACGTACATTAACGACGTTCCATTCAAGTGAGTCCATCTAAATGTCTTTTCAAATTGTGACGCGTGACGATGTAAAAAATATCTTTCACCCAGCATGATGGTATCGTAAGATCAATACAACTGAATAATAAGACTATCTTTTCTCCAAGATCATTTCTTTCAGAATTTTCAAGATCATTGATGCTTTTCCTTTCCCGCCGTGTAGCTGATGGAACACCGGAAATGCCTGAAATACCTTTTCAATTAAGAATCCACCTCACCCCCCGACTCCCCTAAAACTCCTTCCGTGTGCAATCCGCAATCAGGCACGCGTCACGGGACGTCTCGCCCGCCCTTCTAATTACGCGTCAGGACGCGTGGGTGTGGGTCCTTCCTACAGGAGGGAGGGAGGGAGGGAGGGAGGGAGGGAGATGGGCAAGCAAGACAAAAAGGGATCGGCCGGTTCTTAGCCAGGCGAATGGCGGCGATTAATAAAAGCGGTAAAGTACGGGCGCGAAGCTACGAAGGATTTTCCAGTCACGTTCGCCACCGGCCGGAGTTAATTTACGAAATAAATAATATCTTCTTCTTGCACCGCTTCCGCGCTTCCGCCGTGGCGGCTGCGGGGTTGCAACGGCGGAAAGATACGGGCTGGGCAGGGTTGAACGTCCAGCCGGGAGGGGAGAGACTCATAAAGCTGCCTACGTGTCGAGCGTAATGAGAACCGGTGATTTTTCTTTCCGCGCCTTGCGAATGTAAAAGAAAAATGAACGTGCTACCTTCCTTCCTTCCTTCCTTCCTTCCTTCCTTCCTTTCTTCCTTCCTTCCTTTCTTCCTTCCTTCCTTTCTTTCTTCCTTCCTTTCCGCTCTCTGTCTCGACACCGCAGTGTATGCGACCGGCGTTCACCCGTTTACTCGCCAGTGGGTGGCTGCGTGGGTGGTCCAAGTTACCAGCTATAAGCTACGAGAATCAACCGTCGAGTCAATGACTTTCTTCCTCGTCACCCTTCCTCCCTCGATATTTTGTACGATTTTGCATATTAAACGCACGTTTCAATTTTTTATATAAATACGTAAATGGCCGTAACTTATTCTGGACGAGACACGGTGGTTTGCACACCTGTCAGGAAATACATCACGTGTTCCATATTTTGAAATTCCATTGTCAATTAAATAACAATTCGTTATGTTAGGAAGTATTTAACTAATTCATTCGTTAACAAGTCCCGATGTTCAGTTGGATTATTTTTAAAACTTGTTATATCGGTGAAATTAATAATTATTCATATTGTATATGAATTTTATTTAATATACGTAAATTTTGCGTAGACACTTGCTTTGTAACTAATCTGTATAAGAGTAGAACAAAGGAAAAAAATATAAGATGACTAAGATTTATTCTGTGTCACCTATGATTTCCATTCGTAAAATGATCTTACATTCTCACCGTGTAACAAAAACAACCAAGCCGCGAAATAATATAAAATCAGAAAATCAATTTTTATCAAAGGATGAACGAACTCGGGGACTTTGGAATCTGAAAAGAGACGCGTACGAGGCGGCGTATCAGCCCGGAGGCTTTCCTCGCCATCTAATACCCGGGGCATATACACGGGGCATCATTTTTATAGCGGCAATTTCATTTGAGCCTCGACTCATGCAGTGGTTTCTGATGAGCGGGGCTAAAGCAACCCTCTCTCCCGGCGTTACACCGCTGACGCGGGGGCATCGGCATCCTGCCGCTCCTTCCGCCCCCGCTGACGACGCCATCTTTTCATTAAAACGGTTCATCTGTGAGCCGCGTCGAGGCGCTGCCCTTCCGCCACGCGAAGGCGAAACGAACGAAAACGAGAGGGTTGGATAGGAAACGAGGGGAAGAAGGAGAGAAACGAGCGGAGTCTCCGACACTCGGAGGAACGACAAGGTTGGAGGGGGATGCCTTCGCTAAGTTTTCCTTCGTTTCATATCTCAACTTGCCTCCGTCGTCTCTCCTCGTCTCTCCTTCACCTTCTTCACCTCCCCGCGGCCTCTTCGAGGATTTCTTTTCTCCTTTTCTTTCCTCCAGCGCAACCCTCGGCTCCGCTGCTACGAGCTCTCCGCCATCCGGACCTGGCTAGGCGTGCTCTGATTAATGCCCCCGCTAATAACGTCTTCTCCCCGGAGAAAACTCACCCACACCACCTGCAGTCTCCGTCACGCTAGACCGTAGCGGACTTATGCGGAATTAAAAACACATCTCGCTGCTATGCCGAGTTATTGCGGACCAGGCATTGTCCTTCGGGTTCTCGCGTCCCTTCGACCTTTTTTTCTCTCGAGTTACGAACACGTTTGCGAACACAGAACGCGATCCTCTTGTTGTTGCGAGGATATTAGTAACGATTGCGTGATCGTTACGTTCGGTTGCTTGGTAGAACGTGTCACTTGAAGCGCTGACTGTTAACTGCGAATTGTTACCATTTCGTAGGAAATTGAAGAAAATACACAAATATTGTACAATGGAGAGAAAATGTATAAAATGTAGAAATTATGTGAAATCATGTATATCGTCATAGATATTTTTATTAGATCATAGTCATCTTTATAAACGCAGTAATCTTGCGTTTACTATTGTACAAGGCAGGAAATTCAGTTATCTGCGGATGCATTCGAGCATTTGTCAGAAATTTCAATGTGTACAACACGGTAGTTTGTACTTTGTACACCAAAGTAAAGTATCGTTATGACATTTAATTAACGAAACAAATTCAACTTCTATCTCTACAATTATATTTATAAATCGTAGTCTGATCGTTAAAACATTCCTTAATATTAATCTATGTCCTCGTTGTCTCTTTGATATTCTTCTTCACTAATAATCAAAATGAAATGTACACCGTGTCTCGTAACTGGGTACAATCGAGTAGAGAGTGATTCAAAAACGTAAAGGAAAAATAATGTTTTCTTAGAAGCATTCGTTCTCGAGAAAATTGAATTTGAAAATTTATCAAGTATTCTTGAATTTAGCTAATTCTCGACATGGCAGGAAAGAAGAGAAACTATTCTACTTGCGAAGATAAGTATAAAAAATAGTAGAATAAGATTTCCTTGCAAGATGCATCCTTGAAAAATTTTCAATTCCACACTTTTTGCACGTGGAACATTCTTGCGTCGATTGTTCACGCTTGTACGGCACGAAATGATCTAAAAGTGTATTTGATTTTTCTCGAAGACGAACGGCTTTGACGAGAAAACGTTATTCTTTCTCTTCGAGTCGTTCTTTCACGCAGAATCACCTGCTAATCGATCGTATCACCAGTTACGTACATCCTTTAAATTCAAATTCCATTCCTCCCGTCAGAGACTCAGCTTCTTGCCCGGCAGAGAAGTGTACGTAGTAACGTCTAACGCGCCTATATTCCCATAATTAAGCCTCGATTCGTCCCGTTGGCATTGGATCGGCGTGAGTCACGGTGCGTGCGTGACGCGCAAGCCAAGAATCGTTTCCACACCGTCTCTCATTTATATTTCGCTGATTGCCGTTATTCCTTCCGATTCATTAAGTTCGGCCGCATCCGCCGACGTGCCCCTTATCGGCCGCCCCCGGCTGCCACGATACCATGCGGCACAGGGCAGAGTGGCGAGTGGCGGGACAGAAACGAATAGCCACGTAGAAAATAATGTACGTAACTTAATTACCGATAGAGGCGGCCGGGAATAAAGGAATAAATGACGGTGAAGAGATATACGCGCCAAGAGGCCCCGCGCCACCAGCAGCTAACGCTTAATGCTGGAATTGATGCCCGGCGATTCGCCGGATGTAAATAATAACGACGATCTTAGTTAATTAGAGGCGAGTTTGCGCGGCGATAAATCGTGCGGTCGCGTTCGAATATTTTTCCTGACGTGCTTGATTGTCGGGTGTTCCTGAAACGAATATATGCGAACGTGCTTCCCTCGCACGATTCTATTGCCGATTAATTGACAAAAGTCAAGTCGTGTTTGTGTCTCATCGACCTAGACGAACATCGGCGCAATTTACGTGCAAAATTTACGAACGAATTGACGAGCTTTAATGTACACAATTTCAATTGGGTCTTTTTACGTGCAGGAAACACGAGGGAAACTGTGGCTGAGTGTCGTGCAAAAATTAATTTCCAAAGTAGAGAATTTACAGGCGTTTTAGTTAAATTAAACACTACAGTAGTATATAATTGCAACTATATATTATCGTCTCAATTATATTACAGTTATTAACGGAATAAAAATTTCTGCAGTTTCTTCTGTTCTTGCTGCCAAAACTTCAGCATCGGTTCCGTTTCTTTAACGAATCTCGCACGACGAATAAAAATGGAGAATCCACCACGCGAAGAGAGCCAGCCTCCGAGGTTAATCATCGGGAGGTCGAGAGAGCGATCCGTAGATCGCCTGGGATTCCTCGGAATAAAATAATCTACACGGCATTTCGAGCGGAGGCAGACAGAGGGATAAACGAGTGGTGGAGGGGAAGACAGAGGGGGGAGGGAGGGGGCCGCTTTGGCCCGATATAATCACGGGTCGCAATCGGGATCGGCGCTGTTATTACTGTCCGTCCGTGAAAAATGGTTTCCCCAAACAAATTTCTGGGAGAAAAGGGGAGGCCGATTAGGCGCGTTTGCTTCACGTCGTTGTCTCGTCATAATTATCGTGTTACGTTGTACGCCATTGGCCCCGGCCAATTATGACGGAACTGGTCGTGGCTTCGAGCGAGTTTCATCGTGCTGTGTGTACACGCATGTGCGTGTCTGCGCGTGTGTATGTATACCGGTACCTTTTTCTACGAGCGTGGCTTTCCCAAGTTCGGGGATAGATCCACAGAGAGCATACGGACCTTTTGTTAACCAGCCCTTCCCGAGGATATTTCGGAAACCCGACGACTGTTGTACAAATCCGTCCGGCGGTGTATACTTTAGAGCGCCGCGTCGTCGCGAGTATACAAATCATTTTACTGGCCTGTAGTTTTTTCTTCTTCTTCTTCTTCTTCTTCTTTCTCCAGGAGAGCCATCGTCAGGAAAACGATAAAAGTCGCCGACTGCCTCGGAAGAGGAGTGGCTCCGGAGAGGTATAGCAGTCTCGGTGGTAGTAGCCGGCCGATGCGAGCGAGAGGGCTTGTTATTAAGTCAGGACGTGTAGCAACTACAATGAGAGAGGAATTATGTTTGTTCCCGCTGGGCGACGTCCGCGGGTTCCGCTCGGCCACGGGACTCTGCCTCTGACCGGATCGATCCTCGATCAATCGATCGTTAACCACCTTTCGAGCCTTCGCTTTCGAACTTTAACGCTGTTTAGCCCGCGCTCGAGTGTCACGTGTCCAAGCACAGACAGCTCGGAATAATCAGTTTACTCGTTGGTGGTCCAAAGAATGTAACTGTCGAAAGATACATGTCGATAAAGGTATCAAACTTGGCTACGAAGCTCCGAAATTTTGGTGCGCTCAGAGGGCTGACCTCGGTTAACTCGAGCCAACCTTGTGTACAGGATGTTTCCAATTTGACGATACAACTGGAAAGGGGATGATTCTATATGAAAGAATGAGTTCAGTCTATCTATTTTGTAAACTGTCCTCTGAGATAAACACCAGGAAAAACAATCAGACAACGGTTACTTGTCTTGCAAGTGACGTACGAAAATATGCAAACTATCGAAAATTGCGTATTTATTAGAGACTCGCTGTTAACGAATCAAGAATCTCCCCTATTTTTCAACTTGATCTCTGAAAGAAACCTCTGTGTAACAATAAAAAAATTCAGACAAGAGAAAAAAAAGAGCTACTCCGTCTCTCTCTGAAAAAGAGAGTCGAATCTTCTATTCCTATCGAAAACCAATAATACACGCCGCGTGGACGCGCGTACGTGGCGCGATGGAACGGTAACGACCGATCGTAGCGACGGCGAGGTGAGGCGAGGCCCCGGCTGCCGTGGTGATTCAAGACGATCCCGCTTATTAAGTGGAGGCGAGTCCAGGGACGTGGAGGCCTGTGTATTATGGTCCCGCGCCGAGTGGCGGACGAGAAGATGGAGATAGGTGGGTACAAACGCCGAGCTGGCTCTCTCTCCTCTCGAATCGCTCCACAAACCGCTATTATTTATATTAAGTTTAATGCAACTACGTGACTGAATCCTCGTGGGCCGGCTGCCCCGCGCTGCCGCCAGACCCCCGTGTATCATTAGTATACGCCTATTATTGCATTACTCCGTGCTCCGAAGCGACGTGTAGCCCAACGTTGCGGCCGGTACGGTATATTACAACTAGAGATGGGATCGAGTGCCTCACAAGTGGGTTCGAACTCTTTGGTCGTCGGACTCGAACACTTTCCAACTATACTCGAGCCCTGCTTCTCCTACACGTGATTCGACTTTCAAATAAATGTTGCGTCTTTCTGTTCTCTTTCGTAATTTCGTTGCGTCAGTCTTTAAATGATAATCGTTCTTTAATAAAATTGCTTCGAAGCAATGTGCAGCCTAACTTGATAATGAAGGAGGAAGATCAACGCTGTGAAACAATTAAAAATACGTCGTTTAGTTTCGAGGAATCTCCCAATGTTACAGGTGGATGACAGAAATTTCGTCGATCGACATATTGATTTGCATGACTTTCATTCTTCGCGTCGTCAACCTGTCAATCGTCAATCGTCATCAGTACCCTATCACATCTGGTGTTCGTATATAGGAAGTCGTCAGAAAATTTCAATACTGACCAAGAATAATGTGAAGACGTCTAGTCGAGAAAAAAATATTTCCAACGACGAGTTATCTTTTCATCCACCGATTGAAAGAGCACACGGAGCACGGATTTCATCGGTCAAATTCCAGCCATAATTTCCATGCAGCCAAACGAACATGCACAAAGGCCTCGGAGCGTGGCTGCGAGCCGACGCGAATTCCATCAGCGGATGCTGCTCCTTTTACGAATTAATTTCACGCTGGCTGTAAGAGAGGGGCCGTGGAAAGTCTCCGTGCACCCGAAAAGGGAAGCAATCAACTGTTTCTCCTCTCTCTCTTTCACTCTCTCTCCCGTACTCACGCGAACAACGCTTTATTAGGTGCAAATTGCACGGTTCTCGGTCGTCCTTCCGCAATCGAGACGCGCTCGTTGCGCTCTCGTTTCGACGGCGCGCGTTTCCGCTCGCCGCGATCATTTGAATTCGCGAATCATGCGAATTAGAGAGATAATGGTCGTGCGCGCGACCGGCTGGCTACACGTGTTACAGGCGTAGCTCGCGTTAAGATACGTATCTTTATGCAAATATGCCGTGGCACATCTCTCGGTTCGATCTCTTCATACATACATCCCCTGATCACCATGGACGGTCAATGAAAAAGCAATTGTATGGAGAACGAAATCGTCCCGCTTAACGAACGCTGGGTTGTTAAATCCGCTCTGGCTGTAATTCCTCGCACGGGAATTAACAAAGTAGGTATGGAAATTAGCGTGGAAAATTACGTTCGACACGAAACTCCCCTGTGAAAGCAGGGTGTGGAAGAGTTGGTAGCGAGAGGAGCGGAAGGAACGTGAATTCAATTGGCTTCGATGGATTTATGTACCTCCGTTTCACATGCGTTCTGTGATGCATTGTTTAGTTTCATGCGATCTGATTTAATCGAGTAATTTTGGAATTCTAGATTTGTTAATCACTCGAGCGATCGTCAAAGTCATCACGATTCATAGCTGATGACTGTCTTTTTCTTACTGCATGTCAGATTCATGGACAACTTGCATGTTGTAATTTTTTATAATAAAACATCTTGTAATTTTTTAGAATTATGTCAGTAAATTACAAAATGTTCCAGTATAATACAAATAATATATTCACAAATGTTTAAATTCCCGTATAATTTATTATAGATCCTCTTTCTAAAAAGTTCGCCTCTATCCAACGAAGCGCTATTAAACAAACCTCGTATATATCCAATGTACGTATGTGTTGAAGACTTTCAGAAATGAACTGAGATTGGAACGCCCAATTACTAACTTATATACGCTCGATAAGTAGCGAGCCCCGTCAGTACATCTTCCTGGCGATCCTCGTTTCCTTGGGGTGTCGTTTGTATTTCTCGTGAATCGAGCATAGTTACAGGGTACGTAGCAATGGGTAACCGATGATGCGTTATCTGGACACGAAGCCGCGTGATTTTATCCGCGCGCGTCCGACTTTCAGCCCGATAATAACCCCGGATCTGCTACGCTAGATTCAAGATATCACGCTCCCTTGGACAGGGTCGCGATCAGATCGGTCATCGTCGCGCGTAACGCCGAGCCACACGGTTGCATGTTCACCCACGGTGAACAATGCTTTCCGTCCTCTCGATTCCTCGAAACTGCCTTCAGTAAACCACGATATGAACCTCGAGGCCCTTGCGGTTTACACCTGCACGTGTTCCACGATTAAAGAGTTCACCAGTTCCAGTCGCTACACGCATCTGCAGAATTTAAGGAGGTACGCTACGACGCGACGTAAAGATCCGACGCGAGAGATTCGTTGGTCGATAATAAACGTTGTCGGAATATTCAGGTGTCGGGTCAGTTCTTCAGACAAGTGAGCGACTTTTGTTTCCGATCAGAAAGGCGTATCTCGTTTAATTACCCTCGATGCCTGTGTATGGATACGTTCGTGTTCGAGTAGCCTCCGATAATTTGATCGTGAATTTTTTGAAATCGAGATAAAAGTGAAAATTTGGAGAGCTTGAGATGTAGAAAAGCTAGATTTTATTTAACACAAATAGAGCTAATACGAAATATTTTATTCCCATTTTAAACTTTTTAATTTCTTTCTCGGAAAGAAATCCATAATTACCACTATCGACAAAATTTCACCCCGTGTTAATTTTTTTGCTCTATATCATCATCCCATAATGCGAAATCATTGCGTTGCTGTTTTTCATTTGATGAATATTAAACATAGTAATAAAATCTCTTCCTTTCGTCGCCGGCTTTTAACCACTTACCGATGAATTTAAAAAAGAAGGCGAATTGTTGTATACGGTTTGGTCACTCGTTATGGTCCGTGAATCAGTTACTAGCGCAAGAGGTTAAGAAATTCGAGATTCATGAACCGATATATTCGAAATCACTCGTACCGTGCGTGTCTTTAATCGAAGTCATTATTTCTATGCTTCTAGCAGTCTCGGAAAGGGACGCGAATATATTTAAATAGAAATAGAGAAGAGTATATAAAACATGGGTATTTGTAAATTAAAATTTAGAACCAAACTATTTACGATAGACACACACGTGGCACAATAGAACCAATATCGAACGGTTCTTTTCACAAATTTCAAACTACTTATCAATGAGAAAGTATTTTTACTATTATCGAACAGTGAACGTACAAATACCTACAATATACATAATCACAGTCAATGATTCATCGACTGAAGAATTTGAAAAATCATAAATCGTAAAATAATTCAGTAAATCATACGTATAAATAAATATTTATGGATTTAAATATACAAATACATGTAAGCTATCGTGTATATTAAAGATCACACGGATTAAGATTCGGATTCAACAAGAGATCTCCACTTACCATTCGGCGTTCCTCCGCATCCCTTCGACGGAGTTCAGAAGACGAGTGGACGAATGGCACGGTGGATCGCCTGCGAAACAAAATGGAAATTTAATGTAAAAGCGTTTAAATTGGAGCGTTGGCTACGAGGGTGTTTGTGTAATCGAGTGACTCAGACGTGAATAGAGTTTGTAATTGGGTTGATTTACGTTAATAATGAATTTCCCTTGCTTCGCAATATCTATCAGCCGCTCGATTACATAAACACCCTCGATTTCTCAGAATGTAGAGACAATAACGTAGTG